TAAATTAAGATTTTAACATAAACATTAAGGACCAAACATATAAAATAGTTACCTGAACTAGTTTTATAGCCCTCTCACTACAGTCATTTACTACTTCAAGATTATTCACAAATTGTTTGAATTCTAAGTAATAGTCATTTAGATCCCATGTCTCAGATGGAGTCTTAAGCCACTGTACTTCAGCATTTGCATGGTTTAAGATATGAAAAATTAACCAACTCTGGTCAGTTATAAGCGGGGTCAAACTTGGGGGAGTATCATCATTAAACATAAGGGAGTTCAGTATATTTAAATTAACTTGATGTCTTTCTATGGCATAAGTTGTAGGTCTTGGGGTTGAGTACAACTTCTTGGCAATGTCACTCCGTTCTTGTACATTTTTGTCAACAAGAGACATAACTAAAATATTCGGGTCTATGTACCAGGTGTGTCTCTTTAGAGACTCTATAACAGGTTTTGCCTGGACAGGATTGATTTTTAAGTATCTCATCATCTGCCAAAGAGCTTTCATATCCTAAAGATTTTTAGACTATGAAATATTACACAAAATTTTCAAAGAAAAAAAAGTAATAAAAAGCAAAATGATTAAAAACTTTTAAAACATAGAAATGTCACCTGATATGGAGCGACAGCCGGAATTTCAGCCTTTATAAACCACTCAGTGTTAAATACAGCTGTGAAGAATGCCATATCATTTATTTCTTTCTTCTCAAAATCTGTCAAGCTAGAAATGTTGTTTAGAAGGAGATACATTTTCAGAAAGTATATTCCCTTTGCCATAAATCTGGCATGGTGTACAGGCCCAGGTTTTCTTAGCCTGTACTGTTCATCACCAGATAAAACCATTGTTGTCAATTTCACTAACTCTAGATAATCAGACCTACATCCATCCTAAATAAGATTATTTATTTAGACACAAAACAGTACCTTACTAAACTTATTTTATTATAGAGTATTCACTTTATTCAAAATTTTAAATACCTTTTTCATTTTTTTCATTCTGATAATATTTTGAGAAAAAGATAAGGCTTCTTTGAACTGTACCTGCAGCCAGCTATCAGAAATATCTTCAATTTTTACTTTGTTTAACACAATGGAATTTTGATCAATTGAGTTCCATACATCTTTAAGCTTCTTAAACAATGGATTATCTGGACCATTTATTTTACTGCTTGGATAAATATTCCAGCAGTGAATAATATGCCTTTCATAGATGTGATGCCTACATGCTAGGAGAAGTAGTGGTCTATCAAGCTCTGCAGCTAATCTAATGCACACACCCTTTTTATTACCAGTATTTACAGAAGTTGTATCAAAAACGCATCCTTGTAATTTATCAAAAATATCAAATTGATGAAGAAGTTTTATGATTGTATTCTTCTGTGTTTCTCCAGTACTAGAGCTCAAATGAGAAACCCCAAGAAGTTCACTCTGTCCATCTATCCTGATGGAAACAGCAAGTCTGTCAAGTTGATGTTCTATTCCGCTTGTGAACTCCTTAACTATTTTTCCATCAAAATGGAGAATAATTGGTAATGATGAAGATTTAACAAGATCAGTAACGTGCTTTTTAATCTTTTCTCCCTCTTTAGTTACAATTTCTTCTGCAACTCTAAATGCGATTGAAGAAGATATTGCAAAATTAGTAACATCACCTCCTGAATTAGCAATAACACTTGCCACTATTGCAGTGTGTTGTCTAACTGAAAGTCCTTCACCTATTGCTGTGAGAGCTGTTTCTTTTAAAATATTTTTTGGTAACAAAACAACAGAGGTAGATTGTTCTTTTTTTATATCTGCTACATATTCACAGTCAGAATTATTATCACTACTTGAAGAGTTTTCTAAACTGTATAGATTGTTACCATTGTTTACTTTAATCTCCATGTTTAACATGGAACACAATTTTTTGTGGGATCTCTTAATAGTGTACGTAAACCTTTTATCATTTGTTTCTATTCTTCCTATCCTATTTCCAATTTGGTCTAAGATAAACATAATATCTTCATTTTTGGCTTCGGATGTCCTTCTCCTGTCTTTTATAATATCTTCAATTAGTTCTTCTTTTTTTTTACTAATCCAAAAGCATTTTAACATTTCTTCAAAAAATGCCTCATTCCTTTTCGCATCTGTTGGGCTGTTCCTTTTGCTATTCTTCTTTAACTTGTAATAGTTGTTCATCATTTTATCAATCTTCTTTCTTTAAAATACAAAATTTATTCAATGTTTAAAATAAAGATAAAAATAAATTTGTTGATAAATTTTGAATTCATAATTTACCTGATATTTTCCAAGGTTATGATAGGGAACCCTGCAAGATTCCATGGCCTTACCAATTTAGACATTACACAACAGTCAGCTTGTGGAGGGCATCTGAGCTCAAATGAATTAATTTCGAAATGACACCTAATTAAAACCGTTTTCTTTACTTTGGGATTCAAGTTTCTTAGATATAGGTAGTATTGCTAAACCTCTATGCCAGTAGGAAGTTTATAACATGAAAGATTTTCTCTAACTTTCTTTACTAGAAATACTTCAGCCTTATTTTGAGTAAGCTTCAACTTCTTTTTTGGTGGCATTTTACTATAAAATAACTTTTTTTTAAGTTAATTAGTTACTAAAAAGATAAATGGTAACCAAAAATATAAAATAAGTTAAAAATCAAATTGCATACACAAGGTAAAATATAATTGTTCACAAAATGAAACAGTTATACGCGTATTTAAAATATAACAGAAAACACATTAAAATGGTACATAGGACAAAGGTAGTAAAAGGTAGTGAAATATAGTAAAATAAATAAATGTTTTTGAATTTTTTGATCTTCATTGTTCAAATAAAAAAACAAATTAAGCTTAACATTATATTTTTATTTTCTTCAAAAAGATAAAATAACAAAAAAAAAAGAAAGAAAAATTAATTTGGATAATGGTAACACTCCCCTCAATTAGTCCAAAATATGGGCAAAAAACGGGCAAAAAATGACCTTTGGACCCATTGAGGGAAGTCATGGAGTGATCTAATCATGAAAAAAAAAAAAATTATTAGTAATATCAAGGTTGGGGCACCTTATGAAAAGCAATGTTAGTTGAAATTCAAAAAAGTCATTTTTTTGGAACACCCTAATATATATATATATAAATATATATATATATATATATATATATATATATATATATATATATATATATATATATATATATATATATAATATATATATATATATTTATATATATATATATTTATATATATATATATTTATATATATATATATATATATATATATATATATATATATATATATATATATATATATATATATATATATATATATATATATATATATATTAATTTCAAGAATTTCAAAGCCAAGGACAAGGTAAAGGACACATCCAAGTATTTCACGGGGTAAGACTTAAACTTCGAGCTGCAAACAACAAATCCGCATTTTTAAATATTAAATCATGGTTATGCGTATATATTGTCAATAAAAAAATATATTAGAAAATAGATAAATAGTAAAGCCAAAAACAAAAATACATAAAAATTTAAAAATATAAGATGTTAATATTATTTTTTAACATTAAATATAAGTTGTCAAATGAACTATTATAGTCTACAAGTCTTTATTGCATTTAAGAAACAATAATGTTTCAAGCAAAGAATCTGACATACAAGCTCTATGAGGACGCATTAACTAACATAACTAACAGTAAGTAACCAAATAATATTATATAACGTTAAACGTTAATGAATTACAGCATATAATTACTTGTAAACAATTCTATTGTTCTAAATTCAAAAAATGAACTTGTTAATATAAACAGGAAGTTAGAAAAAAAAATTCAAGGCTAAAAAATTCAAGGCCAAAATATTTTAAGGCCAAGGCCAAGAGTTTCAAGGCTAAGACCAAGGCCAAAGCCAAGAGTTGCAAGGCCAAGGCCAAGGTCAAGGAATAACAACTCTGCTTTATTTATAACAGGGTTGGCAAAAAAATCCAAAAGAACGTACCTTAAAAAAACCCAAAAATCCCTAATATATTTGGGTTGTTTTAAAATGTCCTATTTTACAACTGAAAAGTCTGATTTAAACACTTATAAATGCTTTATTATTAACAAGTGCAACTTTTATACTTTAAGTACTATTGCAAACACTGTATTTATATACAAAATGGTATTTAGAATATAATCTTTAGTTTCGAACTCTTTACAGAATAATCCAAAAGTTAAATATTAAAAAATATTGAAATATGTATTAAAATATTAAATTAGTTAAATAATTATAAAGGAAATAAAAATCAATCTATTAACTAAATTTCAAAGAACAACTTTTAATTTAGTATCTTTACTCTCTTCTCAAATGCTCAAATTTCCAAACAAGTGTTTTATATATATCATTTTATATTGGTATTTGATCTTTATTTTTTAAACCTTATGTTGTAAACTGCAAATTTCAGTTCATAGTGTTGTGACCAAAACTAAAAATTGTAACTAACTAATCTAAAAAAACCATAAACTACCAAAGCCAGCACAAAGGGGTGAGAGGATGGGGTGGTTGGTTTTGTGTGTGACATCCCATCAATGAACTTTTAGCTCATTTAGTAAGCCAATGTGACTCTTTTAGATAAGTAAGTCGGCAAATATAAATTTTCAGAACAGTCACTTGGTAAATTTTAAAAAAAAGCATTTTTTTTTCCTTTTTCTAGTCAGCTAAAATTTTATCGGCGCTCTTTACATGTTACCTACTTGTGCTGGCCCTGTAAGCTACAGTATATTACAATAATTTGTTTTTATTATGTGCTGCTTTTTTGGATCCAAATTATAAAAGTTTTCAATTCTTTGAAAGTAGGAGAAAAAAAAAAAATTTAAAACGTGTTAGAGAAATTTTGTCGGAATTTCATTTGACAAAAAAAATATAATTCCAGTTAAAAAGGTGACAATCAAATCAAAAACATTGAGGTTAATATTTGATGATGAAGATGATAATTCTGGAAATGATAGTGACAAAATAATAAATTTAAATTTAAAAAAAGAAATTAGTGGTTATATAAAATTGTCAGTAAATGAGCAAAATGTTTTTATACTTATGGCATCAAAATCAACATGTGCTTTGTAATATTGTATTGCATTTCAGCAATGATTTTATGTACACCTACTACCAGTGCACCAAGTGAAAACCTTTTCTATGACGGATTAAACACTTTGTATGCAAAACAAAACAGAATGACAACTGAATGTTTTCAAATGTTAATGTTTTTGTTCAAAAATTTGTACTTTTTTAATTTAGTTTAAATTCATTAAATTTAATACTGAAGTTTTTTCTTGTAATAAGTATTTTTTAATACATTTTATTGTTCTTAAATAAATATTATTAAATTTAGTATTCGAACTCTTTTGTGAGATACTGATTTTTTTTTTGTTACAAAAATGTAAAAAATTAATTTAGTTTTTTAAATTTAAAATGTGTTTTAAAAATGTTTAAAATAAAGAAAAATTTTAAAATTAAAAAAATTAATGTGTGATTTTAATGCTCTTGAGTGTGCGGTTATATCATAATGTTGCCTAAAACTGCAAACTTTTTTTTTTACCTTTATTATTTTAATAGTTTGATTATTTTTTTTTTAATATTTATTTATATATTCTTTAGTATTTTTTTAAACATCTATCTAATAAAAAAATATAAAAATAAATATAATAAAAAAGTTAATGAATTTTAATTGATAATTGTTTTGACCCGGTTTTACATGTATTTTAAAGTGCTTAAAAAATACATATTTTTCAAGTAATTAAAATGTCATAAACAATTTCCTGGTTTTAAAAGAGACCGCAGTTACTTAATAAAATGTTTTCAGAATTCAACAGTTAAGCACTATTTAATACATTTTATACACTATTCGACCACTTATATAGCGGAAATTGCATTTTAAAATGCAATTACCAATATTTTTTTTAAATTTTGCAAGTATCGCCAACCGACGAACAACCATACTCTGAAAGCAATAAATATATTCATAATGACTTATTTAATAATTACCCTTTCGGTTTATATCAATACTTTCGCCTGCCTAACTGTAGTGTTTGCGGGTTATAGTAGTCGGGAGAGAAGACGCAACAATAAATGTTCGTATATTGCGTATTGTATTTGTGGTGGTGATTACGTTAACATTACAATAGGTTTGGGGAGAGTTAATAAAGGGAAGGAATTTAATGCCCATTTATAATTTTAAGTGAACACAATATTTTGATATCTTCTGTATTTGGAAGAACTAGAACGCGAAATGTTTCTACTGCATTTTTATGCTTGTCGAGCATGTTATAAAAAATATAAAGACACTGTAATGGTTCTTAACAAATTCATTTTTGATATTCTTAAGAACAATCTGATCTTAGGCACAAATCTATTTGCAAAACAAAACTATCCATAATCTAAAAAATAAAAACAAGCTTAGACATACTTGTCGAGCATGTAAATAAAATTTGCTTATTTTGTTATAAGAGTAGTTAATCATAGCAAAGAATGTGCAAACATAACCCAAACGTAATGGTGAAGAAATGACATTTAGAAAAAATTGTTAAATAAGTATGATCAGGATTGCTTTCATCAATATTGACACAACATAAAAATTCTTTACAACACTACTTTTAAGATAAGGAAAATATGACTTAATTGCTGCAAATGCAGTTTCATCAAAAATTGTAAGTGCTAAAGAAACATTTTGTTTAAAATTGCCATGATGTAATACTTTCATTGTTATATTTGATGTTTTACACAAACCAGCATCGAGGTCTTTTTCATAAATATTGTGGAAGGTGTTCTATTTAACTTCTCCGCCACATACAATTATAGGATCTTTAAATCCAATAAAGTTAAAAACTGGAAATAAAAATCTTTAGCAATTTAACAAATTATTTCTGATATTTTTAATAAGATGTAAAACATCAAAACAAAAGTAAATTTTTTTTGGTTGTAAATAAAAAATAAATCTTCAGGTGGTTGATTCAATGTTCAAAAGATTTTTTTAAAACAAGAAACATTAGAGTAAAGGTTGTCACACACAATAATTTCTTCTTTCAACCATTCAGCATTAATTGTTTTTCAGGAGACTTTTTAATCACATATGGAGTGTTTTGCTTCAGGCCAACCATCATAAAACAAATTACTCCCTTATACATTTTTCCAGACTCATCACTACCAATCATCTCTCCAGCAAAATACTCCTCACATTTTTGCAAGTAGACTTCATCAAAAATCAAGCAAATGCCTTGAGATATCTTATCATCTAATTTTAAACGTTTTACACAAATTAGAACATCAATATTTCCACTAGTTATTTTTTTAAGTAATAATAATGATGGTAAAGGCAATTCTTCATGCAAAAGTTAGTATGACTGCATTGAGTATATCGTAATATCAGTGAATACTTTATAATATTGGCTGAATAAATAGGTTTTTCATATTTTTAATTTGCTGTAAATCAGTCAACACATATGAAAATTGTTTGGTTTGTGATTTAATATAGGTAGGAAAAATATAAAGCATACTTTTGCAAGATAAACAAAAATCTCTTCCTTGGCGAAACAGCCGAGGCAATGGCAGAGGTGAACCTTTGTAAAATAATTTAACATGCATTTCATTGTTTACGTGAATGCACTCTGTAACTTCTGGAATAGATATAGTACTATGACTCAATTTATAAAAAATTATATGATCATCATACTTCAAGAATGAAAAACCACCTGGAGCAAGACTTTCAGTAATACCGTCAAAGCTATTAATCATAATATTCTAAAAAAACTGTTAATATTGATCTGGCTGAAATATTCTTTTAGTTGGTGATTTTCTTAATGAATTAGAAGATTTTATAAGTTGTGATGAACCTTCTTCAGACAAATGTGTGCAATCAAAAATAGTTGGAATAGGCTTTAGTTTTTTAATAATCTAAAATGTTGATTGGCATTAACTTTCTTATAATATTTTTTTTCAAATGTTTGATGCATATATCAGAAGAACTAGTAGGTGTCCAATCTTTTCTATTTAAAAATTAAATCCAATTTTTTTTTAACTCTTCATTTTTGCAAACGAAAATACTAATGTAGATACTTCACCATAATTATGATAATTTGAACAACAATTTACAACGCAACATTTGTTAACTATCTTTTTGAACTTTCAAAGCTGCTTCTTTAAAAACACTTTACAAGAAAACTGGCCTTCTATTTTTTTCTTCAAAATGCAAAATGCTGTATAAATAAAGAAGGCAATATATATATATATATATATATATATACATATATATATATATACATATATATATATATATATATATATATATATATATATATATATACAAATATATATATAAATATATATATATATATATATATACATATATATATATATATATATAATATATATATATATATATATATATATATATATATATATATATATATATATATATATATATATACATATATATATATATATATATATATATATATATATATATATATATATATATATATAAATATAAATATATATATATATATATATATATATATATATATATATATATATATATATATATATATATATATATATATATATAATGTTTCTAATTTCTTAAACCTATCTATTGCATGATAGATTACTGTCTTTGAAACACTTAACTTTGCTCAGAGCACAAGCTAGTATCTATATATATATATATATACATATATATATATATATATATATATATATATATATATATATATATATATATATATATATATATATATATATATATAATGTATAACAAATTATTATTATTTAAATTAAATAGAATTATTTATTATAAACTATTGTTATACCTTTTTTTTTTATTTTTTGAAATTAAAAAAATTGGTTTAAGAAATTAGGAAAAAACCTTTAAACTAGAAAACTAGGAAGAAAAGTTGGAATCCAGGAAAAAGTAAGAAAACCAGCAAACGGCATGACCATCTGATAAAAAGGCAGGTCATTTGCAATCCTTTTACTAGTGCAGAGAATGTTAAGCATGTCTACTGTAAAAAACAGACTTAAGGCTTTTAGTGTACAGGCTTACTGTCCAGCAATTAAGCTACAATTAACAAATGCCATGAAAATTAGGCTTCTCCAGTTTCCTAAAAAGTACTAACCATGGACAATAAATCAGTGTTCAAAGGTAATTTGGTAAGATAAATCAATATTTTATCAATTTAGAACAAGATTTCAGCATATCAGAAAGGTTGTTGGTAAGAGATATGATGATTGTTATACAGCAAAGAGTATTCACAAAAATTAAGTTGTGGAGATGCCTCAACCCAGCTGAAAGTGGAGGGTTGACGTTTTTGGAGCCCAACCAGCGTAAGAATGCAAATGGCTACATAAACTTTTGAAAGAATAAACTAAGAACTTTTTTGAATATTCAGGATTGCACAATCTTTATACAAGATAGGGCACTGTGACATATCGTCAAGGTATGCAAGGTGTGTTTTTGTACCAACAGAATACAAGTTGTGGAACTTTGTAAAGAATAGAATTTTACAGAAGCATTGTACATTTCTAGAAACACTGAAAAAGTCAAGTCTGGACACAAGAAGTAATACAAGAGACCTGTGAACACTTGATAGCATTGATGTGAAGATGTCCAAAGAGCGTTATTGTTGCAAAAGGAGAAAGCACATATTATTACAACTTTTCTATGATTTATGACTCAGATAAACAGTGATAAAACTTGCTGTAAAGGATAATATAAAAATTAATTAAAAATGTTTTGATATTAACTAGTTTACTTTTGATAACTATATTGATTTTGTAGCAAAAAAGAGACTCTCTCTATGTGGGTCTTATTTAAATTGGTGGTACTGCAGTTGTATGTTAAATAAACTACTTTTTTCCTATAAAGCACATTAAGTTAACACCAAAATATGAATTACATTTATTTAAATAATTTAAAATATGACAAAATGTTTCTAATAACCAATCAAATGTATTAGATAAATTTTACTATGAAACAAATCACAATATATAAAAGTTCATTCAAGTTTTTAAATTTCTAGCAAAAAATTTTCACAAAAAATCCAGAATAGCTTAACAACTCCAACAATAAAATCACAAAAACAACAATTTTACTGTTATGTATAAAAATATATGTACTGTTACTTTTTACTGTTATACTTATTTACAATTTATTAGTCATAACTTTTTATTTTATTTTAGTTAACAATTATCATTTTTTAATATAACAATACAACAACTTGTCTAAAAGAGTTTCTTGAATATCTTGTTGCTGAAAATTTCAATTATCAGAATTCTAAAAAACATTGTTAGAAATGATATTTTAATTTCTGATTAAAAAGCGCACATGTTGTGTGCAATGTTTTTCTGTAAAAGAATTATAACTCCTTTAACTTGTTTATTTATCTCTTCAACAAAATTATTTCAAATCAGAAAGCAAACTATATTCAAAATATTTCCAAAAAAAAAATCAACATATTTTTCCATCAAAAAAAAAAAAAAAAATTCGAAAAAGTCTTTTCTTTCAAACTATTAAGTGATAATAAGTTTATTGTAAGTAACATTAGTATTATAAAAAAGTTTATCTCTCTAAAGAATGTTTATAAAATTATTATTAGTGAAAGATTTACAAAAGATAGTTGCTGCTATTTCTTCTTACTACTTTACTACAAAAATAATTGAAATAAAAGTATATTATCATATTAATGATGAAAGAAAAAGGATAAGTGATAGTTCAGGAAATAGCAGACTTTGCAACCGGTTATGTATACCCTACACATACCGAGAAAATGTTTTAAACAATACACTGAAGAAAAGAACCGAATTCATTTGCAGAATGCTGCTAACAAATGGCAGATTCCTGTTCAGATGATTGCTTCAACACTTCATGATAAAGGTTTAAATATCTAGTAATGTATTTTCTTGAAACTTTCATTAAAACAAAATCACATTTATTAAAACTCATTCATTTAAAGCTTAATTACAAACATTTTTTCTTTCGTTCTAAATTTCAATGTGAAGAGCAAGTAATATAATAAAAACTCTAATATATTTTAAACACTAACTTTAAATGCAGCAATGATATTTCTTATAATTTGATATTAAAATGCTTAAAGTATAAATATTAATAATAAAAAAATCTTAATAACTTTGTATTTATTAAATATAAAAATTAAACTTACTTGCAGTTTGAAAATACTTATTAAAATGACTTTTATGTTCAAGAAAATTTATTTTATACTTTTGGGTGGGCCAAAAATTGCTTGGGTAAACAAGTTTAAGGTGGTGTTGACACAAGTAAAAGCTAAAGTTCTCTATTAATTTGCATGATTTGCATAAGTATTAGTACTAATTTGCATAAGCATAAACATTAAGGCACATAAGACTAATTTCCTTATAAATTTTGTTCATTTAAATTCTTAAAATGTGCACTTTAATTTTTTAAAAATAGAAGACAAAATAAACAAGATAAAAAAAATAATAATAACTGCAACCAAAACCCAAACCCAAAGTTGATATAGCGACACTCCCTTGCATGTTCTCTCTAGATATTACATATGTACTGAACCACCTTCAGCTACCTATTTCACTATGTGCATCTAATGCTGCATTCCTATATATACATACATATATATGTATACATAGATATATAAATGTACATACACACACATATATATATACATAAATATATATATATATATATATATATAAATATATATATAAATATATATATATACATATATATATATATATATATATATATATATATATATATATATATATATATATATATATATATATATATATATACATATATATATATATATCTCTCTATATATATATATATATATATATATATATATATATATATATATATATATATATATATATATACATATATATATATATATATATATATATATATATATATATATATATATATATATATATATATAGATATATATATATATATATATATATATATATATATATATATATATAGGGCTTCGAGGAAAACAAAAGCATTCGCCCTCACCAACACTCTTGTTAAACAAGAGTGTTGGTGATATATATATATATATATATATATATATATATATATATATATATATATATATATATATATATATATATATATATATATATATATATATATATATATAGGGCTTCGAGGAAAACAAAAGCATTCGCATTCGAGTGTGGGTTACTTGAAAGAGTGCACCATAGATAAAATTAAACTATATAATATGTATGTTATCATTAACTCAAATTTTATATTGATTTAAAAAATAAAATTGTAAATATAAAGTACTTGTGCCATTTCTAATAGGAAATCAATAACAAAAATTTTGAATCCATTTAAATCTTGAACAACATGAATGCTTGTAAAAATACTTTGCTCGCAGTCAATAAGTTGAGTATTAAAAAAGTGGATAAAATTTCGTACTTCACTCCAACATGGATCTTGAATACCACAATAT